GCAATAGACAGCAAACGAAGATAACTCCAAAATCGAGACACTTTAAAGGATACGTTGGGTAATAATTCAAATAAGAACCAAAATGTTGATCATACTTTCGAAGAGAGAAAGATTGCAAATGGATCAGAATACAAAAAGAGGGTGTTCCCATTTCGGACTTAGGACCCCGTGCNGGCTAGCCGAGGGCCCCGGTTGTGAATTCCACCAGGAAAATTCGCCTGCCCCGGCCTGGGCAACCGGGCAGTATTCCGCCCACAAACAAATCATGGAATATTTTTCTTTTTATACAGATTATTGTACCATGATTTGTTTAGCACAGTCTGGACTCAGACGAGTGTGAAATGCATACATACATATTCCGTGATGAAGGTTTCAATCACAACCGAACTGATATGGTAGATGTACACAACCACAGGACTGCAATTCTAGCGCAGAATATCTGGGTCAGTGAGCAAGTGGCGGGTAAATGTGATTCGGTTTTGCATTGATTTACGAGGAGGGCAGTGGGTGCCCTAATGGAAAAATTGGAGAATCAGATTTTCTAACATAGTGTTAATCGGAAGGGACGGAAATGAGATGCTCAGATTTGGCGGTTACAGTACTCACCTACAAACAAGCGCAATTTCCTGACATCGTCTTCTTTCGGCATTTGACCTGCACCTTTGTATGCCACGGAGGATTTCATTTTTGTATCTAGTCCGGTATCGGTTTTCATTCCGGACAACCGATTGGTGGAACTCTCCACCAGAGCTTCGAACAACTCCCGTCGTCGATTCATTCGCTTCTCTTCCGCAGTTTGCTCACTCTATGGGTGAAAGAGGAGAACAAATGAGCAAAAAATGAGGCTGAAAAGTGGAAGAACGAAACATACAAAACATCTAATACCATAAAGTAGTTCATGATTGTCTGCTCACCAACGAGGCTACTGCCTCGGTCAGCGAATAAATTCCTCAAAATGATCAAGTCAGCCGAGAATGAAGGAAACCATAACGTTCCTATCGCCGGTTGGTTACAATTTTCCCTCGTATGAGTTACAAAGCCCCGGGAAATTGGTCTAGAGGGACATTTAGTTTGACCGATCTTCCCTAGTAGTGATATAAACACCGAGAGAAAGGTATTCAAGCACATTGAAGCCCTAACCAAAGAGGACCAATGAAATCTGTGTAAACACCCAATCTTTAAAGATTGTTTTGCGTTCGAAGGTATGAAACGCAAGCTAAGTGGGAGTTAAATTGTTTGAATGGTCAAATATGTTACAGGCGCTTCAACAGACACAGGGTGTTTACAACATAATAGGAGTTGCAGTAATTCCCAATCAAATATTTTGTGAAGTGGATGATAGCCGTTGAACACAAGAGACAGAAATTAGAGTTGAGTGGTGGCGCATTTATCATCACTAGGCAATGAAGAAATTATGTTTTCTGTAACGGTTGAACAGTAGCCAATTGTCTACAGCGCTTTGTGGACAAGAATCCAACGAGGAAAAACAATATCCATAAATAAATGCAAAATAAACATTCTGAATGCAGTGTATGTGAGATGACTGAGGTTAGCTTACTTCAATCAATAATTCCTCCGCCAGTTTGGCAGGATGAATTTTTAATCCCACCCTTGTCAGGGTTTCCCCCTTTCCTTTTCTATTCAACATTGTTATAGATTTGATTATAGAAACAGCCCTATCCTCGTGCGAGAATAGCGGCATCGAACTACTTCCAAGTGGCAGACTGTTTGATCTAGAGTGTGCAGACGACATTGTGCTGCTAAGCGAAGATGCAGGTAAGTTGCAAGCTTTTCTGGATAGTTGTGCTAGTGTATCCATGTTTGGTATGCGTTTTGCACATTCAAAATGTAAAATGTAAAAATGGGTTGGTCCAGCACCCAGTCTCACTCTAACTGGGGAAGTAATAGAGGAGGTGGATAAGTTTTGTTATTTGTGCAGCTACATCTCACCCGATGGACGCATCACGGATGAAGTGTCAGCTCGCATACAGAAGGCTCAGTTGGTATTTGCCAACTTGAGGCATTTGTGGCGCCGTCGCGACATCCGGTTGTCTGTGAAGGGTGGAGTATGTGCTGCAGCAGTTCGGCCAGTTCTGCTATACGACCTAGAAACTTGGTCATTAAGGAAACAGGATAAAGACAGACTGTCGGTGTTCGAACACCGCTGTCTACGCAGCATTGCACGAATCTGGTGGGGCAGCCGGACGAGCAAATGCTGAGGTCAGGTGCAGGGTTTTAGGTAACTGCGGTCGCCCACTGAAGCAAGTGGTCGACCTCCATAGATTACGTTGGTTGGGACATGTTTTACCCACGTCACCAGATAGGTTGGCACGGCAAGTGATGTTCGCCGATGCAGGTAGTTGGTGGAAGAAAGTTAAGGGTGGTCAAGCTAAGATCTGGCACGAGGGTGTGAAAACCCTGGCCAGGGGACTGTCACATAGGTACCATTAGGCTCCCTGGCTGGGGACCTCGGGATAATCGTAACCGATGGTTGGAGACACTGAGTGATATTGTGATGGAAGGTGGTACAAAGAGGGCCCCGGGCTAGCGAACGAATCAAGAATGGGACCCATCCAACC